CGGAAGAGCTCTAACAAGTTTCCTGCGTTTTCTTCAGCCGCAAATGCCCAACAGAAAGATCAAGGTCTGCTCTGATCTTCTTAGGACATTCTTAGGATGCATTAGCACAGAGTTTAGAGAACGGGCTGCAGAAGTGTCAGGAAAAGGAGCAGGGTTCCTCTCACAAGTCTTTCTTTGGAGGGTTCATTCTCTCTCCAGGATGCAGGAGAGGCGCAGAGCGTGTGCTAGACACCCTGTTCCAGAGCAAGCTCAGAACAGAACTTAGTGTCAGCTCTGCTTTGGGAACAGACCAACAAAAGTTGTTCTCTGTGGTCATATTTCCTCAGGTAAGCCTTGGCAGGTAGGTAAAATTACCTTGTGCGGATAACAGAAAACAGCTATTGATCGAATCCAGACTCTATTACAAGCTCCTTTTCCATGTAGTGCCACTAACCTTTTTCACTTTTTGTTTGTTTCTTTCAGAAACAACAGAGGACACATTTAAATAATGGAAAGATTAAAAAATAAAATAAATAAAAAATAAATGAATGTATTTATTGGGTTGGGCTTTTTTTGAACTTTAAATTCTGCACCCACCATGGTATAAGAAAGTATAGCTTTGACACGAAAGAGCTAGATTTACTAACAAGATGGAGGTTAGGACTCTTAATAGAGGAGGAACAATGACATTAAACTTCTCTTTAATAACTCTTCAAATACAGTTCCAAGGAATACTAGATTTGAACCCTAGACTCCTTCGTATTTAGGCACACATCTTAATCTCTGATATCAGGATAAACAGTTCAGCCATTACCAATAGTTTCTTGTATGCACTGTATGATGTTATATTGTTATAATGCTTTAAATAAAATGGAAAGGGAGAACCAAAACACTCTGCTGTTTCTGTTCTACCTCAAATGGTCCATAGTAAAGTATCTCATCAGTAAAGCAACATTTCTATGACTTCTAATACAAAAATATGAAGCGGATTTAAAAAACCAAATAAAATAAAAAATAAAAATGAAAGAGGCCTCAGAAGTCCCTTTGAATTCACCCAACTCACCTGTCTTTCCTTCTTTCCAGACACACTCAGCTCACAGTTCACCCAACTCACCTGTCTTTCCTTCTTCCCAGATCACAGCCTTGTTTTACATTAAAATTTCAAATTGTAAATTAAGCTAAATAAGACCCTTTGCATCAGAATCAATCTTTAGTAGCAAAATCAGGAGCTGAAGAATTAGTCTCAGCACTACCTCTTTTGGCTGATTACTCAGTTTCTCTACTTTTTAGAAGGCAGAGCACTCTCCAGCATTCACCATTTCCAAAAGCAGCTTTAGTGTTGAAGTTTAGGCTGTTCAGCTTTTAGGACAAACTGCAATGAAACCAAATGTTTTGCTCTGGGCTCCTTAAATACCATCGCACTCCGCGGGCCCAGCCAGATGCACTTGGCACTTCAGAAACCAGTCACTCCACTTCCCCAAAGAAATCATCTGTTTTGCTCCCTGGCAAAGCACAGGTTTTTCATTCCAACTTTTCATTCCTGAGCTACTTCTCACTGTCTGTCACGTCACTCGCTCGACACCCACCTGCAGCAATGACACCTCTATCCCTTGCAGTCAGGGAGCAGGAACAGCCACCACCACTCCACAGAGTGTCAAAGCACAGACATCTCCACTTCTCCTCGTTCTTGCAAAAGATAAAATACTGAAAGTTGTTAAGCCCCACATGCCTGTCAGGTTCTCCAATGGTTACACCTTGCTTTACATCTAGTGATCAGTTTTTAAACTCTCTGTTCCCTTCTCTATAGGACTAGTCTTAAGAAAATACCTCCCTTACCTAAGCACTTTTAGAGAGAGACAACTTCCCACCTGCATCTAATAAGTAGCAGCCACCTGATCCCCAGCTCATCAGGAGCAGCTGCAAGAGGGAAGGAGGAAGAAAGCTCAGAGAAACACCCAGGAGCACCCACAAAAACCCACAGGCCTCTTTAATGCTCTAAGTAGGTCACACTGCACACATAAATACATTAAAAACACAGCATTTGCAATTGAAGATGCTGCAGTCACTCAGCTTCAGATAAAATATTTATTTTTAACCCCAAATTTTGTATATATAATTACAACTTTTTAAGTCTTAATGAAAATATTTAACACTACTTACAAGGAAAAAAAAATCAGCTCGTGTAATGAAGTATTATTTACTTATGTTATTTCATTACTAAAACGTATCTTGTCATTTTTAGTTTAACATGCCTGAAATGCATTTACCAGATTCTAAAGCTAACATAATATGAAATCTGAGACTCTAATTCTACATGAATCTCTTATGAATTCCATACTAAATATGGGGAGGAACCATAATAATAAAAGAGCAGCTGATGATTCAGAGTACTACTCAAAATACAAGGGTGCACTTATATCAAATCTGTTCCATAATACAGCAACTATAAGCTAATAAACTCAACCCCCAAGATATTATAGAAATTCTAGCCCCTCTGTTTCAGCATATATCTTACCCAAGTACACCAAAAGTAACCTTTTAAATTTACTTATAATACAATTTATCCAGGTAGTTACTGGTATAATGGAAATTATATGGTATGGTAAGTCAGGCTATTGCTCATACATGTTTTTTATGATATAATTCTCTTTCACTCTGTATCAGGAGTGTGCATTTTACTGAAGGAGTCTGTTATTTTGTTCAGGAGATGCCTATTTTTCCCCAATGCACCCCTACTAAAAAAATAAACTGGAAAACAAGTACTTTCAGCATAAACACTTTCAGAGTTAGATCCCCCATTGCCTCATTAGTATGGAGCATTATTACTGTACAGAGCCAAAATAAGGGCTTATTACATATATACAAAAATGTATGATTTGGATATCATTGTTTATTTTCCTAGAGCAATTCAGGAAAAGATAAGACCTTTGTTATATTATGGTCCAAAACTGTCTAACAAACACACTAGTAACTTGGTTCACGAGGTGCAGCACAAGCTGCCTGGTAGGCTACACACTCAGAGCATTAACCAGGCTCAGGGGCTCTGGGACCCACTAGGGCTTTGCCCCAGCTCTCTTGCTCATGTTCTCACCCTGCAGCTGCTCCTGGTTAGCTACGATCACCTCCCCTCTACCACATCCAGCTGGAAAGGACTCGGCCTATTTCTCCAGAACTCAGGTTAAAACAGGCACTTGTTGAGCAGCCTTTGAGGAAGAGAAATTGAGAACTTAGAAAGTGAGTATTAAACCAGTGAAGTACAGCTGATACGACATTACTACACCTTAGTTACCATATACACCCTGAAGGATTTAACTTTTATGCTTGATAGCTTGTGATAACCGATAGATTAAGGACACCCAAATAAAAACATCTTCATTTTATGATGAACATAGAGCAGAGGGAGAACAGGCCTTCTTCTTCAGCAGTGACAGAAAGGGAATAGGATGAGACAGAAAAAAACAAAAATGTTGCATACTCAGTACAAATATTGGCAGCAGTACAAATATTGGTAGCTCTGGATCAGCCACATTACAAATGTTGCATACTCAGTACAAATATTGACAGCAGAAAAATAGCTCTGGATCAGCCACATTAGTGAAGTTGCCAATAATTATAAAGAGAACAGAGTAAGAGTTGGTAGAATTTATCAGCTGTAAACCAAGTTGAGCATGCAAGAGTAGAGTACTGCACTACTTGTGCAAGCAGCGGACAGAGGATTCTGCTTGATGAAATTATAACAACCAAGAGAACACATGACTGCAGCCTCCTCCCTCCCCTCTCGCCAGACATCATTTATATTTGTACGGGCATGGTGAAAAACAATCACTTGGCCACGTAAGGTAACGGAGGTTAAGCAATTGCTTAACATCTCTGCACAGACACCGAAGGAGTAGTGAACGTAATCCGGCCACTATCTACGGGAAAGGATTGTGTACAAATTTGATTTCTTTACTGTTTATACTGGCTGTTGTCCATTTGTTAAGGTTAAACTCTACAGCCACACCAAAGCAAGGCTATCATTCATGAAAATACTTAAGGACTCCATTTAATTTAAGCCTGATCTAACGTTAAGGTAATAGGGAATGAGAATTCTCCATGTGTTTAAAAGCTTTACTAAATTAATAGGTTTTATTTTAATACAGGAACCTAAAAACATGCGAGTATTCTTGGTTACCAGGCCTCCAGGTATTTAGGATTTAGGACATAATTCTGCCATTAAAAAATAAAACCAAATAAAACCCTAACATCACATGTGTTCAATACCCCTAAAATATTCTACTCAGAATCCAGTACGATGCTGGCTACACACATCTCACAAACTCAGAGCCCCATTCTGTCCTGAAAAGTTCTTATGGGGAGACAACTAAGTAGCTATAGACTAAGGTAGTATTTTAATATAAAGCTGAAATCCTGTGGGGTGCAGTGACCACATTGCTTAGCGCATGTAGAGAGGGGAACACATTCAAAATGAATGCAGCCCCATACCAGCTCCCCCAGCCCCTTCAAAAGTAGGGAGTAAAAAGGGGAATGAAGATCACAGGTTGAATGAAGACATCCTCTGAATTAGACACAATCTTCCTGCTTCTTACCAAATAAGTTATACAGAGCAGTCTTTTATGTTCCCTGATAGTCAGTGTGTGACTGGCCTAGGGATGCAAAAACTGTGTTCAAAACAATCTTTGTGTTCAAAGTTCATTTTACATCATTTCTGAATTTCCCCAATGCATCTTCTTTATTTTAAGATTAGAAAAGCCATCTGCATTAAAAAAGTCAAAATTCTGTTTAAATATGCACTTCAATACCACAGCTGAATGCAAGTTAGCCATTTTGTGTATGGAGATGAATTTCATTTTATTTTGATTAATAAATATAACATGGTCCATTATCAGTTCAGACTGCCACCATATTTTGCCCTTT